TGTAATTCCATGAATATATATTTTCTGATATATGTAATATTATTATAATATAATATAATAGATAATATTTATTTAGATTATTATATATAGAATAATGTTTTTATTTGGTAAAAGATCTAAATTGTTATAGCTATTTTTAATACGAATTTCGATCATTCATATTTTGATTAGCTTTTAAAAATCCTTACACTTTTCCCACAATTTATTTCATATATTTTTGCAATCTTTTCATTGCATTCTTATCCATGAAATTTCTCAACCGTTTATACTTTTAGTTGGCCTTACATTTATACAAGAACTTTCAGACACCATAATTAACTATTCATCCTTTTTGATCGAGACATCAGAATATAACCCTAAGATGTTCTGCTCCAATTTCTTTCGCATTTTAGTTCTCTTTCTTTTTCTTTTACTGCTTAGAACTTTGCTCACATTTCCTTATTTCGATCAGTTTCGCTCCCCTTAAGCATTTCCACTCTCTCTATCTCTCTCTCTCCCTCTCTCTCTCTCTCTCTCTGTTCGCTAAGTGTTTTCCAATTTCCAGCGGAAGTTCATCTGGAAATTATTCGAGTGGCTCCATCAAATCTTTTCATTCCCATTACCTCTTTCCTGTTTTTCCTCTGGCTGTGGAAGCCTTTCCTGGGTCGCCTTCGCCTCGACCTCGATGCAGTAGCAGCTTGACTTATGAATATATTTCGTATATTTTTTTTTCATTATTTTTCTTCTCATGTTTTTTTCTTCTGTATTTTTGTTGTTGTTTTCTGTATCTTTGTTGCTGTTTTTATTTTGTGTTGCTTGCTTTGATCCAGTATTTACAAGCGTGTTTAATCGTAATCGCCAGAGAGCAATTCGCTCGTGTGCACAATGTTAACGAAGTTTATTCCTCGTTTGTTTTTACTCTTGGCAGATATTTTGTATGTGCACTCGTACATATATATATTTTGATATCTATATACTTAACATGTTTATGTGTGTATTTGCATCCATATGTTTTTGTTCCTTTTTTGCATATTCCACTTGCCTCAATCAATTTCATGTTGAGTAGAATACCCTAACAATAAGGGGTATGACGATTTTAGGAAGAGAGCGAAGTATCTGCGATCTCTTAAAAAATATTCATTATATTTCAGAATAAACAGCAAATCACTTTCACATTTTCCAAAGAGAATATTTTGAGATTTAAAATTAAAATTAAAAACATTAATTAATTAAAAACTAAAAAATTAGAATTAAAATTCATTCAATGCAAGTAAGTATTGATATGTTGAGTATTATGTCAGCCCAAGCTAAAGTTTTTTTATGGCTTTTATTTTAATATTATTTTAATTTATAAAATTGTATTTTATTTTTATTTATAGCCTTCAAAGCCACAATTAATGCTTAAGTGTATCCAAAACTTCGGCCTTCACAGGCTACACTTTCTTTCTTGTTATTTTTCTGTTTTCCGCTCATTTGCATTTACCATAAATTCAATTTAACCCGCGATGTCCGCTCTGTCTGTCCGCTCTGTCTGTCCGCTCATCAGGTTGTCCTTTATCCAAAGAGACTTTCCCCTGCTCTCCACCCCTCTTCCTCCCTGCTTTGCATATCAGGTGACGCTGCTTGCTCGTCTTTGAACATTTCTCTTGGATTTCCTTCTCGCTGCTCGAGTTATTTACACGCTTTTAATTCAATTGCAATTGCACAATTAATCAAGAGCTTGGTACACCTTGCGATACTCGAATACTCACACTCACACTCACACATTCATTCACACGTATTCGCTTTTTGGTTGCTGTGTTTAGTCTTTCCTCATGCGTGTTTTTTACCGAAGTTCAACGGAGCGTATGAGCGATTTTTGAGCATGTCGAGCCTCTCTTTTTGTATGTTGTGTTCGTTGTTTTTGGTTTCTGGTCTGGTGTGTTGTGTGTTTGTTGAACTCTTTTTTTTCTGTGTTAATTAAACACTTTAATTTGGCCGCTCTTTGTTAATGCTGTCATAATAACGGACTGTCTGTATTTCCACCCCACCCCACTCAACAACTCCAACTACCCCCCACCCACCCCGTTGCAAAACAATTGCATTTTTTTAATGCTGTTCCGTTTTCGTGTGTGCAAAATGATTGATTCGATTTCTCAGTGGCAGGCAACGCACAATGGGCTCAGCCACGTTATTTATGGCCCCCAAGTTCCAAGTGCATGAAATTGTTCATTACATGCAACCAAGGTAAATGGGTGGGCGGCAATCAGGTAGAATTATGGGATACCCTAACACAGGGGCTGAAGGATAGACAGGAAAAAATTATAGAGAGTTTATGTTAAAATTTTGGAAATATTATTTGATACATAAAATATAAGAGAAACATTATCAAGGCTGGGTAAATATAGATAAATACCAAAATATATTTGCTGATTAAGCTTTATTTGAAATTGATTTTCCTCTGAAATTTGCATGATATAGTCAACCGATTTGGTAGAAACTAAGAAATATTATCTGAAAAATACAATCATAATATTTACAAATTTTTAATTTTTAATATTTTTTATTTTTATATATTTTTTAAATGGGCATATCTACTTAAATACCAAAGTTATAAAATATTTACTAAAGCCTAGTTTAACCCTGATGTATAAAATTAAATATATACATATATGTGTATATAAAATAATATATATAAATAAAAAGGAATTATTCTGATAATAAATTTATTCCAATAGCTGCTGCTAAAATATTTTCAATAAATAATAGTTCTTCAATCAACAAATCTTTGGGTTGTTTTAGCCAGCTAAAAAATAAATAAACACACAGCCTGCCCAAAGTTCATTCTTGCTGGCATGACCAACCATTATTAACCCCTTCTTAGAGTATTTGTAACAGGCGCAGATAATTTCGTATGCCAAATCAAAACCCAAAGTCGCTTTGGAGTCGGAGTCTGTGGCTTTTAAGGTGGGTCGTCGTGAATAGCGGAAATTCCACATGAGCTCTGCGATACCGCCTCGCACAAAAGTCAATCACCGCGAAAAACCAAAAAACAAAAAACAAAAACCGAAATGAAAAACGAAACTCAAAATGGAAATGGAAAATATCTCGCAGATGCATAGATGCACAGAGATACAGATACTCATGGATGGAGTGCGGTAACATTGACATTTAGAATGCGGGCAGCCTAACCGCCTAACCTGAGCCGAGGCTCTGGGGCTCGGGCTCGGGCCATTCATAATTGCGGATCGCTGCGAAAAATGCCATAAAGAGCAAACAAGAAACAGCGGCACAGAAAATGACTACAAAAAAAAAAAACAGTCACAAACCAAATCGAAATCGAACGCACTGAAAGTCCACAAATCTACTAACCTTGTGCCCCCCCTCAGGCCATAAAAAGCTGCGTATTGATTTCGCGGCATGTCGTTGTTGCTGTTGCAGGAATTGGCCACAGAGTTGCAGGCCAATTATAGTGCACTTGTCCGCGAACACGGAGAGACCAAACAGCTGATGATGCCTGGCAGTGCGAGTGGGAGTGGGGGGGTGGGCCAGGAGTTGAACCAACAGTGTGGCAAGACTACAGGCCAAGCGTGGAGCCAATTGTGCGGGTCCAGAGTGCTGCAGGAGCCTGTTGTCTGAGTGCTGCCACATGCCGCTGATGCCGCCGCCGTCGCCGCAAAGTGCATTGGGCAATGTTTTGTGGCATGTCGTGAGCTGTAGATTTTTTTTTTTTTGGGGGAGGCTGGAGCTGCAGAGAGACCCGAACGGAGTCCATACAATGATCTAATAGCCAAATCGGTGCATGGAATCGTATCTGTAGGGAAGGTCATTGTTCGGAATGAGTGTAATTGGAATGAATAATGAATAGGTTATAGCCAATACGAGTACATTCGTATATGGATCTGTTGCTGGAAGGTTAGCAGACAATGAGGAAGTGCAAAAGCCATAATTAGTGCCTTAATTTGGGAAATATCTGGGTAGAGGCATTGCTCTGGGATTTGTTGCTTGCTTGCGGCATGGCGTTTCCCACGGTGTGGCATTTAATTGTTATTGCTCTCAACATATTCGATTTCTGAGGGGGTTATGTTGTGAGATTTTTATTTACCTTTTACACTTTTTTTTTTTGATGGCATTCTAAGAAATACATTTTATATTCTTTTTTTTTTATCTAAACATTATTTAGCAAATTCTCAATAATTATCCCACAGTTCCTATATGCCTAACTATCCCATTTTATTTTCTTACTAAATTATTCTCCACAATAAAAAATATATATTTATTATTTTTATTTATTATTTTCTCGTTAGAATTTAGCTGAATTTATCAGGGCACACCCACATCATTGCCATTCATATTACAACATTTTACCACTAACTCATCACATCGCCCACACACGCAGAATCAATCTTACCGCTAAGTTTATTGTCTGCCGAGAGTTCTTTTTCCCTGAAGCATCCCATGAGTCATCATCCAACTGCTGCTTCCACCTAACCCACTTCGAAGCCGGTCTGCGTCCTCACCCACATGTGCGACATTTCCACAGCCAATTGCAGCAAAGCTTCAGAGTCCAAACCACACAAATACGGCATATTTTTTGTCAAAGCTTAAAACATTCTTTAACAGCCTCTGGGCACGCTTCATGCTGCACACACACACACAAATCTATGGACAGATACATGCGCATATAAAAGTCATACGAAACGATCTCATCATAACTTAAACGTCACGTTGCAAGAGCCATTAAAATATTGGCTCTGACGACAATGGTAGAGCCCCCCAAAAAAAAAAAAAAGCCGAAACAAAAATAAGCATTGCAGACACACTGAACCAATGACTCCCCCAGCAATCGACAAGCAGCAGCAGCAGCAGCGCAGCAGCAGCGCAGCAGCATCGGCATCAGCATCGGCAATCAGTGCAATTTAAGAGAGTAAGAGTAAGAGTGGCTTCGAAAACCCGTTTAAGAGCAAAAGCTATGCCCACGGTCGAGCCGTCGCGTCGTTCCGCGGGCCGAGCTTGAAAGCGAAATCAAATCGAAACCGAAAGCCAAACGAAGCTGAGCTTGAACCGCATGCGCAACGGCAGCGGCTGCTCTCTCTCTTCGACATCGAAAGAATAACTGAATCCGAAAAGCCGAAAGAGAGTTTGGATTTGGTGGATCCGTGGGCTAGCTTTTTTTCGGCATCTTGCGGCTTTGGCTATTTGGGCAAAGTTATTGTGCTGTTAGTCGTAATTTTGGCAGCCGAACGTGCGCATGCGGCCACCAGTACGAAGCGCGTCAACCAAAACAGCATCGCACCGCATCGCATCGCATCATTTTAGCCTGCAACAAGTGCTGCACCATAACAAGTGAGTTTTTTTTTGAACCCAAACGTTTATGGGTACAAAATCGATGTGCAATTATTGCAAAAGTGTTAAAAATTGTCTAAGGCTGCACCCGAAAAAAACTAACTGGGAAAAAGAAACATAACAAATAAAATGCCACTTTTGGGCCACAAATGAAATTTTTATGCAAATTATGACTTTGGTAATTACGGAGTACTGAGTACGGAGGGAGCCCCATGTGCAATCAGCCCAACACAAAAAAGTCACTTTATTTATTTATGATGTTTGCACTTTTAATTAAAATGGTAGCAAAAAAAACACAAACAAAAAAACCAAAAATAAGTTGCAATCAAAATTGATTAACATAAAACAAGGCAGGCCAGCAAACATGTGAGTGAACGCAATTGAATGTCTCGGGTATTCGTATTCGTATTCGAGTATTCATTGCCCTGCCATGTAATAAGATCAACCGCAACAACAACAACAACAAAAAACTAAAGCGTGGAAAAGTGACAAACGCGTGGTTCTCGTGTGAGTTTTGTTCATAATCAAAACGAGAGACGACGACGATGATCATCAGCTGTGAACAAGTTGAGTGTTAAAATCGGGTAGCCTGCTTTAATTACACAAACAAAAATCTATTTAAATGAGCAAAAGCAGCTGAAGAATTCTGCATGAGTGTGTGCATGAGTGTGGCTTGAGTGAGCGACAGACAGAGATCTCTCTCACTCTTGTAAGTGTGTGATTGATGGAATAATTGAGCTATGATGACATGCAGATTTCATATGCCAGATCATTGGATTATATAAGTGGGCAAAGAATCCACGAAAAGTTCAACGTGTTATTTAGTGGCGGAAGATCCAAGCTGCTCTGCGTTTATTTCAGCGCCCAAAAGCCAGCGAACTTAATGAGTGATTTTATTTTTATTTTTTGCGTAAGAATTTAAGCCGTTCTCAGGCAGTCATCAATCAGTGGAAAAAGCAAATACAAATTAAATATAATTAAAAGAGAACTTTTGCAAAAAAAAAAAAAAAAAAACTCAACTTGATTGCCAGGCATGACGGACATAAAATAAAAACCATAAATACGAGCATATAGAAGTAAGAGCCCCGTAATTAAAGTTATGAAAGAAAAAAAAAAAAACGATCGTCTGTCAAGTGATTGTACTCGAAACGTATTGGCAGGGGCAGGGGGGGCCCTCGTTGAGCAAAGATCGGGGACCTAAATCCACCCACGGTACTTGGTTTAAATGTCAATTATGATCGATGGCAAAATTCTGTGGCAAAAATCGTTTGCCATCTAATCACTGTAGTCCACCTCGACCCAAACAGGCGACAAAGCCAACAGATCAGAGCAGAGCAGAACACAAGAGATCAGAGCAGAACAGATCAGAACAGATCACAACAGATCAGAGCAGACAGAACAGATCAGAGCAGAACATACTGCGACACAAGATCGATGGTTGGATATTTGGTTGGCTTTTGATCTCTCACTCACTCACAACCCTCCTTCGCTGTGGCATCCAACTATGACGCATCGTTAGCATGGCTAGAATATTGGCATTTCCCAACATCAAAGTGTAGCATGCATGCATCTGTCTGTCTGTCTGTATGGCCATAATCGGCGTGTCTAACAGCCATAATCCACCCGCTAAAGGCAGCTGGCCTCAGACCCAATCCCCCTCTGACCAGAGTCCAAGCCAGCGGACGGCGGCCTGCTCGCTCACCTCGCATTGCACATCTTGGAGCCGGCTTTGCAGGCTAAAAAAAAAAAAATAAAAAAAATAAAATCAAAAAGGCATAAAACAATTTATTTGTACAAAATAACTTTGAACTCTCGCAGTTGCAAAGCGGAGCCAACAAAATGACTTAACTTATACTATGCTGGCATTTTCCATTGGATGCTGCAATCCGATGCACATAGTCGGAGACCAGAGACCAGAGACCTGAGACTGCATCTGAGTTCGAGTCTGAGTCCGAGTCCGTGTCTGACTCGTCTGAGTCGTGTAATCAATGCAATTTACTTGACTGGCCAGTGTCCGTGGAATGTGGTGCATATAGGTTCTCGTTTAAAATGCTTCACAAAATGAATGCAATAAAGAAGGTGTACAAATCTAAGCAATATGCAACACGCTCCCTTCGATCGCACAGAAGATTGCAGGTGGCAGGGGGCATGGGGCAGGTGGCATTCAAGCGGCACGTAATGTTGCTCAAAGGTGTTCTAATGGCTGACCAAATGAGCTATTGAACAATGCCTGGAAGTGGCTTTTACAGATACGGCTAGACAGATATCTAAATGCATTTACAAACACTAATTAGACGGGGGCGACTGGCCTGGGTCTGGGTGGATGTTAGCAAAGATCTAGATAGGTGCGTGCAAGAGGCTGTAATTGCAGAGGAGATCTGAGCGTGGAGATCCCCAAAGACAAGCCATTCACTTACGAGTATTTAGTGGTATAGATTAAAGCCATTAAATGGTTGAATTTTCGTGAATTAGTTTTGTCCTCTGGGCCGTTATTCTCGTGATCTTCCGAGAGCGAAGTTCCTCCATTTAACACAATCATTAAGTAAATATTAAACCCATGAAGAAGCTCACCGCTTAACCACACTAAAGATTTCCCTTTTCCCTTCTGTTGTTCTGCACTTAGCACTCTCATTAGCTCGGGATTACCCAACCCAAACAGACAGATAGACAGACAACTTACCTAACCTTCTCTCCACATGCTCATCGGCCATTATACTCGAGTTTTCTCACTCCGTTTACCACACCGCAAAGCATAGACATTAACAACTCTCTTAGAGCTGCTGCTGATCGTATTGTTTGGTTACACCCATTCCCTCGTGGCGACCCTACAACAAGGTTCTTCACAGCTACACTCTGTCGTCAATTGCTATTATGACCTTTCTGTCGATGGCTTTTGCTTGGCAGCATTTTCCAGCCAAGCAACATTGCCGACTGACCTTAGCGAAATCTGTAAAGCCGAGAGGAGGAGGCACCCAGGCCACCAAGCCACCAAGCCCCCAAGCCACTCTTAATAACTGGCCAGCGCACAGATTTGTCTTTTTTTTTTTTTGTTTTTTTGCACAACTGAAGACTGAAGTGAAGTGCGGCAGTGGAGTGGAGTGAAGTGGCGTTGTCTCGGGTTGCAGCTCATTAATCGAGCAACGAACGACATAAGAGAGCAGAGCACAGCTGCTGCTGGCTGCTGCTAGTCGAGTGGAGTTTTGCTACCCATTAATAGGCCGCAGAGTCCGCCCCTTCCTCTCAGCTCCACCATCTCCTGCTGTTGCTGCTGCTGTAACACTTGAGGGGAAACCTGCAGAAAACACGGCAGGCCGGGCGCAGTCAGGCAAACGAAAACAAAAGTGAAAAGGTCACTAACACCAGTTGGGGCCTGCCTGCCTCCCAACCCCACCGCCAAGCAGGAGTCACAGCTGGAGATGGAAGTTGGCAGTTGGAGTCGTCTCTAAGCACTCCGACACTCAGCACTCAGCCAACTGTGGCCGCCAAGCTCAAGCGATTTTCGGCTTTCGGTGCTCATCGTAATGCCAGCGCTCCAGGAAAGGGTATAAAACATGAATACATAACATTTAATTTGGTTAACAAAACAAAACAAAAAAACTAAAAGAAACTGCAAACAGGCAAACTGGAAACAGGGGAATCATTTTACTTCTTTAAAGCAGCTGCAGATGCTTTAGCTAACTTTAGCTAACTTTTTTCTTAGTCAGTCACTGGAGGAGTCACGGGGGTTACGAGTTGCTTGGCAGATGGGGAAAATTATTTGCATTTATTTTAGGGCACAAAAAGATGCATCAAGCTGCTCGTAGATTGCTGCTATATTCCAGACCATTTTTCACAAATATTTTTGCACCCAAAATCATTCAATTCTTTGAGTTAAAAACTTTACCGAAAATAGCCTTGAAATGCATTAATTTTTGCATAGTTTTTGCCACACAACAAGCCAGAAAGTTTGATATAATTGTTACACTAAGACTTTCATTAAATTCATTAAATTTCTTGACTTGACCATAAACTTTATTTAAGCAGAACAAATCATGCCTTAGCTTCAAGCAGCATCCAATTTGTGGGTACATTTTCAACTAGAACACAGCTATATAGCAGACTAAGACAAACCATTTTTCACTTATATATTTACACACGAAAACATTAATTAGTTTGATCGTAAAATTTTTAAGTTTTCTTTGCAGCATAAAGCCTGGAAATTCATTCACTTTCTGCAAACAAAAAGCCGGAAATTTAGGAATAATTGTTACACTATTTCATTAATTTTATTACATTTCTTGGGTATATTCTGACAATCAGCTGACCATAGCCAAAGAAAACCTTTGCTTAATGTTACAAAATAATGAAATAGTTGCTGTGTATAAAAATAAGGGCAAGAATAAATTGCCTGATCATATGTATCATGTGTATACATTTTTAAAGTTTAGTTGCAGTCATCAGGCAATTTATTTTATTTATTCTTTTGCTTATTTTTATACGCAGCAACTATTTCGAATTTATATTAATTAGTTTGGGAATTATTTGAAATGCCTTTGGGGGCATATTTAGTAAATTTATTTATGTTGCTTTTCCACTTTACAAGTTCTATATTATATTTGCCCATATTGCCTAAGTATTCCCACATATACAGAGCATCTCTTCTTCGTTATAGCCTTGCCCCCAGACCGTCTTGTTTCTAACTCTTATTGCCTGTTGCTTGTTGTTTTCTGTTTTCTGTTGTTTCGTTTTTTTTTCCGGCTAACAAGTTGAGCTTGGCCCAGGTTTTTGGCTACTAAGTACTGCCTCTCCTCTGACTGTTGTGTGCTTCTGACTGCTGTGTGCTTCTGGTGCTTTTGTGTGTGTTGCCAATTTGAGTTTGCAGAAGCGGCCACAAGCCACCAAGCCACCAAGCACTTTGCCGGCCCAGAGCCTGAGCTTGGCCAATGCAATTCGCATTTCAATTTTTCTAAACTATTGGCCAATACTTTTAGCTGGCAGTACACTGTAAATACATATGTACATATATATTATTTAAGCTCTCGTATATAAGATTATTTATCGCCGTCAGATGGGGTCTTGGGAAAATACAAAAACCAAAACCAAAACCAAAAAATTGCAGCTGTTGCAGAAGATGTGTCCGAAATGCGGTGGGGAATTAATTGAAGCTTTAATTGAAACAATCTGACAGATCCGGTGGCTTGGATTGGATGGGTTGGGGTTGGGGATGGGGTTGGGGTTGGGGAGTTGGGTGACAACTTTCCCAAATGCCATGGAAATGCCATCTTGACTTTCATTTTTGTTCGTTTCATTTGTAATTCGATTTCCTTTCGCCACTAACTATTGCAGGAGCCAGAGCCGAAGCCCTAATCTGGTGAGCTTCCCCAAATGCACGTAGAGACGCTCCACAGATCGGTTGGTTAGACAATTGCAATAACCCCCCCCCCAGCAGAGGTAGAGAGACACACAGCTTATGCAACTGAAGCAGCAGCAGAAACAGTTGCAGCAGCTGGAATTGACATTTGTACAAGTCCCCCAGACAGACAGCAGACAAAAGGTGAACCGAGGCAGAGATTGCTGGCAATAATCATGGATGAACAGAAGCAACAGCAGCAGCAGCAGCAGCCAACAACCCTCGATGGCATGTCGAATGAGGCCTCATCAGTCAGTGGATTGAGACGTCAGCCCACCAAATATCCCCACGGCCTAAATATCACCGTGCAGACGATCGATGATGATTACTCCCGCGCCTCCACGCTACGCAGCAAAGGCTCGGACGCCAGCGCCGAGGTGGCTGCCTGCTGGAGTGATACCCAGAAATATCGCATTGGCATGCTCGGCAGCCCGGAGGCACTGGCCGAGCTTCAGGTGCGCCGCTACAAGTATCCCCTGACGGCCAACTATTATTTGGAGGCGGCGCATCACGGCGAGAAGCCCACGCCATGGATGCTGCTGGGCTATGCCCGTCGTGCCTGTCGCTGGAAGTATCTGCGCTGGCCCATCATCTTTGTGGCGAGTGTGCTGCTGTTTTTCGGCCTGATCACCTACTGCCTCTGGCTGCACGATGTGAGTGTGGCACGGGCACGCTTGCTGCAGCGTCGCTACGAGGCAAGTTCCACCACCAGCAGCAGCAGCAGCAGCAGCAGTACGGAGATCTACGATGATGAGGAAACCAGCACCGAAATGGAACCCCAGGAAACGACGCGACTCAAAGCGGTGGATGGCTACACAACGGAGCTGCCAGAGCTGTCATTGGGTGGGCAGGATGAGGACTACGATGACACCTTGCTGCCGGCTGACAGCATTCGTTTTACATCCGGACATCAGAATAGTTTTGGTGTGCCCATCGAGCAGGACAAGCGAATGTTGCAGTTGCTGAAGGATGTAAGTGCGCGGCAGGCAAAGAAATCTGCCAGGGGGGAAACCTTCATTCACTTGGCACCTTTTTCCCCTTTCCTCTGCAGCTACTGCCCAAGCCACAGGCCACACCGCCTGGCCATGAGCAGCCCCGCACACGCGTCTCACCCACACTGCCACCGCCGCCGGCAGCAGCGGCCAGCGGTGGCCATCCCACAGAGGCAATGGCAATGACGACGACACCATCGACAACCAACAGCGGCTGTTACTCCACCATGCTGCCCATGTGCCAGGGCGTGCTGGACTACGATCTCACGTACAATCGTGAGGGCACAGCGGCGCCACGGGATGCGGCAGCCATGGCCGCCTACGAGCAACTCATTCGCGCCAACTGTTCGGCGCGCGCCGTGGAGTTTGTGTGCGCGGCACTGGAGCCGGAATGCAGACCCTCGCACATTGGCCAGCTGCCGCCCTGTCGCAGGATTTGCAAGGGTAAGCCAGGGGCCAGGGCAGGGCAGGGCAGAGACAGTGGGAGATCCTTTAGTGATGTTTATTGATTATTTTGTAGCCATTTTGGAGGCCTGCTCCATAGCCATTTCCAACTCGGATGTGCTCAGTGAGCTCTTCGACTGCAGCCAGTATCCGGATGCCCATGAGAGTCACAAGTGTGAGGATCCGACGCGACGGCGCGATGACTGCTATGGCAATGAGTTCCAGTGCCACGATGGCAGCTGCATTCCACAGCAGTGGCAGTGCGACAAGATCAAGGACTGTGCCGGTGGCGAGGACGAGGACGAGCAGTGTCTGGTGTGCGAGCAGCAGGATGAGTTTCGGTGTCGCTCCAACGAGAGGTGCATACCCGAGAGCCAGCGCTGTGATCTCAACTTCGATTGCTTCGATGGCAGCGACGAGGAGGACTGCGATGAGTATGGCTCCGGGGACTCGGCGCCCTTCGATGAGGCGGAGCTGAATGCCTTTCCGCGTGTCTTTTCCTATGCAAGTTTCCTGTCGCCCAACGAAACGAACGACAAGCTGTACACGTACATCACGGCCACCACGGACGAGGAGGCGGGCACGGAGACCAAGTTTCAGCTGCATCAGGTGGCGGCGCCGCCGCCCGCGAATGGATCCGCCAGTGGCGAGGATGCGGCAGCAGGACCCAAAGGGTTTGGTAAGCACTCCTCGACTCTGGGCACGCTGGGCAGTTCTCAGTAACGTTCTCTTGCAGTTAACTTTCGTGACAGCAAGGAGATCATGATGACCAGCGATTCGGAGAACAAATTCAAGTATTCACAGCGCGCCAATCGCACCTCGGTGAAGTTCAGCATCAGTGGCGGCGTCACAACGCCAGCGGCGCGGACAGCCAGTGCTATACCCAGTGCGGCATTGGTGCAACAGCGTGGACGTGGCAGCAGCAGCAGCAACAACCACAACAACCACAACAACAACGACAACACCAGCACCAGCACCAAGGCACCCACCACACAGACAGCGGTGACAGCGCCGGGCGGTTGTCTGCCCCACGAGCTGCGCTGTGTCAGTGGCAAGTGCATCACCGTCAATCAGCTGTGTGATAAGGTAGGAGATACATGCAACCCCCCCCCCGCAAAAGCAGGAGAGCTGCCTAAGCTTCAGTTTTATTTTTTTTTTTTTTGCACAGCAAATTGATTGTCCCGATGCGGCGGATGAGCTGATGTGCGTCTACAGAGAGCGTCCCAGTGTCAGAAGGACTACAGCTACGAGTACGAGTTCCCGAATCACAAGCACCAACAGTCCCAAGAGCAGCTCCCCCAGCAGCACCAGCACCAGCACCACAACGCGACGTTCTGTGAGGACCACACCCAATCGAAGTCGAAAGCCCAAGTCTTAGAGTGTGTTGCCCTGCCCTGCCCTGCCCTGCCCTGCCTGTAACTTTTAACTTGTAATGTTTATTTATATCTCGTATCTTTATCTCGTATCTTTATCTTTATCTCGTATCTGTATTTTACTTCTTCTTTTCGCGCTCGCTATATGTATGATATTGATTGATATACTCGTATGCAAAACACTTTGCTAGATTTTAAGTTATTTAGTAGCTAGTTTATTGATTGATGATTTCTTTGACTATTTTTATGCGTATGTAAATTGTATTTTTAGCAATGAATAAAGTTTAAGATGTGATTAGCAAACGGAGGAAGTTTTTCAGTGGCAAAAAGCAAAAGATTTTCTGTGCAAAGAGTTAAAGATTTGCGTGGCAAGCAGCGGAAGAGCTTGAGTGGCAAGAGACAAAGATTTGAGTGGCAAATAGTTGCAGATTTTGTGTGACAAATAGTTTCAGTTTGCAGAGTAGCAAACAGTTTAATATTGGAGCAAACATTAGAAGATTTTCTGAGGCAAACAGGAGACTATTTGGAGTAGCAAAAATTAAAAAATTTAAAACCAAAAAAAAAAAAAAATAAAATTCTGGTAAGTTGTATACAATCCTTTAGAGTAAATATTCTAAGCAACAGTTTAGGCACATTGTTTGGCCTCTACTTATTATTTTTTCTGCCGAAAAGTTGAAGATCTTTCTGGCAAACAATTGCAGATTTTGTGTAGCAAACAGTAGAAGATTTTCAATGGCAAACCGACAAAGAATTTGAGTAGCAAAAAGTTTAAGATTTTGACTGGCAAGCTTTTCAAAAAAAGAGTGGAAAATAGTTGAAGATTTTATTGAAAAATAGTTAAGATTTAACCCACCAAAAAATAAATTTCTGGTATATTTTCCACAATCTTTTAGAGTAAATATTCTAAGCAACAATTTAGGTACATTGTTTGGCCTCTAATATTATTTTTTTACTGGCAAATAGTTGCAGATTTTGAGTATCGAAAAGTTAAGTATTTTTGGTAAAAAAAGCTGAAGATTTAAGTGAAAAATGTTTTAAGAATTGAGTTGCAGAGAATTTGCGTATCAAAAAGCTAAAGATTTTCAGTAACAGACAGTTGGAGTTATTTTGGTGCAAAATAATTAAATTTCAGGTAAGTTTTGTACGCTCTTTCAGAGTAAATCTTCTAACCCACCATTTTAATTAAATTGTTTTGTCCTCTTACCCATATCAAAAACTTCTCTAACCTTGGCCAGCGCTCTCGCTCTCCCACTGCTTTTGTTTTTTGGTTAGCCATAAGCAGTTGGCAGACAATGCCCAAAATGAAATTCAAAATGAAATCGATACAATTAAAGTGCCCGGGACGGGACATTATGGCACAAGAGAGCGCCTTGGGGTCGGGTCGCTGCAGAGTGCACACAGCGCATGGCCCACGCATTTGAAAGCAATTCAATTAACCAGACTATTGTTTGTGAATGCCACAAGGTCCATTATCTATCTGGCCATGTGCTTGTGTGTGCAGGCAACTGCATTAGATATACTAGAGAGCGACCGACTCTGACAATGACCAACACTCTGGGCTGTCTCTCTGGCCGCTGGAATATGGCTATGAATCCAGTTTACACATGACAAAATGCGGAAGAGACACACAGAGGCACAAGGCACAAGGCACACACTTGTCTGACAGATTAAATTGCAGTCAGACAACAGTGCCCCCCCCCCCACCCTACCCAACTATTCTCTGCCTTCGTCAGACTGCTATGACGACTCTCAGTTCGATTCCTATGCAACTCAGACTCGTTGACAGCTCTCCAGCTCTGAGCTCCCTCCACTGCAATTTTTCTTTTTTTTTTTTCTTTTGCGCTTAGGGGCTGATGAGGATTCCGTTTGCAGTTGCTGCACAACCACAAAAGTTAAATGCGCTTTGATTTCATGCCCACCCCAGCACAGAAATTGCACAAAAACACAGCCCAAAGAGAACCTTTTTTTTTGGGATATTTTCTGATTGATTGCCATCAAAATCCGCTTTGGGCAAATGCGATTTGATTGCTGTCATTGTGCCCTGTGCCTACGCCCTGTGAGACTACCATTAATAAATGTTTTCGGCAAATACCTAATCCCAAATCGGACAATTGGGCACCGGACAAAAAAAAAAAGAAACCACCCGAAAAAAAAACAGCATAAAAATTGGGCTAAAAAAATGATATTTTATTTCCTGTATGCGCCATTTGATACGTTTCATGCGTTTTGCTTTTTGACAGCTGTCAGGCATCTACATTTTCACCTTAATTAAGTGATATTAATCGTCGTTTTGGCAATCTCCAAATTTTCATCTCCCGCCGTCGCTGCCTCTGTCTCTGTCGCTCCCTCTGGGTTCGAAGCCTTCTGTGCCGGACGCGTGCCCCATTAAGTGAAAGAAAAACCCGAACAGCAAAACTCTCATTCTCTGTTTGGGCATTAAAAGCTTTTTTACCTTCGTTTTTTATTTTTTTTTAAGGCCAAGGGCAAAGGGTGCGGAAGTTTCGGGGTAGTTTAATGCATAGATAGGGCCCAAAAAAAGAAAAACAGCAATCGATACGCATAATTTTCATGTTTGGGTGCCCTTTCGGAGAGGCAGCGAGACCTAACGCCCTACTTGAGCTGGGTCACTGCCAATATTGTTAATGTAGTCGATTCTAATGGGCCAGGCCAGCATTTCGAGTCGAGTGCCCCAAGTCTCTCTGTGTGGCAGAGCTTAGTTTTTGGGGGTCCATATGCAAGCATATGAGTATTTGTAGTTGTAGCCTTTGCCCTTGGGGAGCATGGGCTATCTGGGCTATCATGTTAATTGAAAACTTTAGCAATTGACTTTAGGACTTAGGGCAAAAATAGCAGCAAATTTTTTGGGTGGTTTAGAGTGTAATAATATAAAAAAATACGGAAAAGAGAGGGTTTTTTTAGTGGCTTAAGTGGGGTGGATATTAACTACAGGAAGTAGGAGCTTATTCATATATGAAGTATCTTTCTTTCTTTATTTTTCTTTGTATCTTTCTTTCTTATTTTTCGTTTTATCTTTCTTTCTTTATCTTTCTTTGTATCTTTCTTTGCATACTTCTTTCAACTGCAGCAACGCGTGCAGTTTTCTGGCAATCATCTCTGTGGGAGAGCTCTGACAAAAGAGCTCTGATAAAAGAGCTCTGATAAAAGAGCTCTGATCAATATTTAAAAAAAAGAGAGGCTGCTTGCACCTTGACAGTGCAGCGCTGCAGTCTCAATCTTCAGAGATGCCTACCCCAGCCCGTATACATATCAACAATCCAAATTCAAAGACTGACCCCAGCCTCAAAAGGGGTGCAGAAGTATGCCCCGCGGTGCAGCCATAATTACGGGGCACTTACAGTATATGTATGTTGCACGGGGGGTGGGGCGTTACGCTTGATCGTTTTCGAATTGCAAGCGACGCGGCGGCGCACACTTCCGCCCCGAAGCGAATGGAAGCGCAGCCTTCAAGGAGTTCAAGAAGTTGACATAATTGTGCCAGCAGCAGCAGCGGCACGGGAAGATTGCTTTGCTGCACTTTTGTAGCCTCTTTTTTTGGGACTGCCTGCCTGCCTGCCTTGGAAGTCATTGTCTTGGGCAACCCCTAGAGCAGGCAGCACAGCGCCCATCTGCCCAGCTGCCCAAAGGGGTGTTGTGCCGGGCATTCCTCTCCGACAGTTGCTACACTTTCACAGCCAAGGAAATGGGTGTGGCCCAATCGAAGATTACGCCAGCGCCTCATGCGCCCCCTTCCACTGCCACAAAAGTACAGTTTAGCCATTAGAGCAAAAGCACAAATCTTGGAAAATCATTAAGCGCATTTTCCAATTGATTTCACACCTCAGCCGCAAACGGACACATTTTGAGCGAGAGACCAAAATCAATAAGCAGCCAAAAGGCAAACCGCATAAACAGAGAAACCAACCGAAAGGGAGAAACAGACAGAGAGAAAGGGCAGCCATTGGGGACTGTCACTGCGGCTTGGGTGTCTGTCCAGTGAGGCATGGCGATGGCCTGACAGCAGACAATTGTTTCACCCAGCATATGAGGATTTTTTGGAGGGTATGACAGCAAGATGATGATGTATGCTGCAAGGAGAGATGCCCCCTCCATGCCTGAGAGAATTATTTGCGGCAGAGTAGAAAGCTTATTCGTGGCACACGTAGAGATAATTCACATGGATTACTAACTGATAAAATAGCAGATAAAATTAAAATTAAACCAAATTGTATAAGTTAAAAAGTTTTTCTATGAATTTTTTTTTTTTATATTTTATATTTTTCTTTAAAAACAAAAGAGAAATACTAAAATTAGAATATTTTAAATATTAAAATAGTCTGAGGATATTCCACTGCACTTAAATTTTTATTTTAATTTTGTATAATTTGTCCATAGAAGTTTTGTGTTATAAATAAATATAATATATATATATATAATAAATATAAATATAACAAATTTAATTTTAAATATATCACATATGTGTCTTATAATAAATGAAGGACTACTCTATTTTTAGAAACTTTTAATCAACATATTCCTATTATATCCATGGCTTTAGCCATAAACCACACATATGTATACCCAATTTCCTGCAAGTTTCTATATCGATCCCCAGGTATTTCTGCAGTCCTCACTGCACTTCACTGCAGTCTCATTTTGTCGCATTGTTGCGAAAATTGATGATGGACCCACCTCAAAAACACTCAGTCTGCTGCCATACCCTCCGGCGCTCAATTGAATGGCAAAAGGAACCAAAACCCAAACAAAAACCGAAAAACCAAAAGTGAAAATTGCTTTTGGGCAGCATCTTTTTACGCCTGATTGCAGCTCAAAGTGTCATCTATCTCCCTCTCTCTCTTCCGTCTGCTTGCGTACCTTTCGTTCAACGAAAGGTTGCTCTGCGTGTGTAGGCTCTGGGGCTTGGCTCTAGGTTACTTTTCTCTATTCAATTGAAGGCCCACACACACCACACACACACACCCCTCCACAGGGCATGCAAACACACACAGATTGGAATGATTTACGAGCACAGGACTGAACATATACAGGATGCTTAAAGGATAACACACGCTGCTACAGCTACAGCTACTCGTGTGTACGGTGAAAAACCAGGAGGACCAGTGTCGGACACATTCGGTCTGTTCATTTGCATAAATGCTCATTAAATCATGTTTGCCGGCCAATAGTTTTGCTCCTTCTTCTGTAAAAGTTGCTGTCGTGTGTCCAGTTTTTTTTTTTTTGTGGCATAAATTTAAAGACTATACGACACCTCTACGAACTCGGGCCACGGATCTGCTAGCTGCTGG